AAAGAATTTGAAGCTCAAAAATCCTCTAAAAAAGGATGGATATGCGCTAGTTGTGATCAGCCTAAAAAGATTCCACCAAGTGGTGAAAACCCAGATCAAAGTCACAACACTGAGCCTACACCATCAGAAATTCTGGCAGCAGTAAAGCGGCTAGATATTTTTTTCAACCAGGAATTAAAAAATATTAAAGTAGCGCTAGACAAGTACGGAGATCTGAGCTTCGAAGTAAACACTAGGCTATCTAAAATTGAAAACCACTTAGAGGGACAATCTAAGAAGCTTGAAGAAATAATTTCAGAAAATAAAGCCCTCAAATCTAAAGTCGGTGAACTGGAGGTCAGGCTGAATAAAGCCGAACAGGGCTTGCTTAGTAGATCGCTCGAGATACGGGGCATCCCGGTTCGAGCAGGTGAGACCCCCGCAGCCCTGGTTACAAGTATTGGGGCCGGTCTGGGCATTAAACTCAATGTCGATGATATAGACACTGTGCAGCGCCGAAGAGCAAGAAAAGATGACCCTCGACCACCGCCTATCATCGCGAAATTCGTCAGGCAGTCAGTGAGAGACGACATGGTGCAGAAGCGAAAAGTAAAAAGGGATTTCTCGACGCGGGAAATCGGTTGGCAGGAAAATGACTGCCACCGTATTTATATCAGCGAGGAAATGACCCCGACGAATAGGTACCTTTACTGGCTCGCTCGGCAGAAGAAATCAGCAGGGAAAATAAAATATATATGGTTCTCCGGCGGCAGACTGCGGTGTCGAAAGGATGACGGTCTTCAGGTTGTCTTTATCGACCAGAGTCAAGACCTAGACGTCTTCGGCTGACTCTTCGATCCCTGTTTACTCCTCAACATCGATAAACAATTTGGCTTAGTTTACAGGACTCACACTGAAAATCTGAAATGTATGTTATGTTACTACCGGAAATTTTTGATTAATTTATTTCTATTGATTATTGCATTCAAAATTTTTTTTCTTTTTAATGGGTTTTTTCTTATATTTTTATTTTTACATTATTTCATCTAAGGTATCATATCCGATCCAGCGTCTGCTCACCAAATTCTGACTTTATTTTCCTCAAGCCTAATCATGTCTAGCATCCTTAATACCTGTCACGTCAACTCTCAATCCCTCCCAGCCCACTATGATGAATTCCTTGAATACTTTACCCATAATTTTTACCATATCATTGCAATTTCCGAAACCTGGCTCAAGCCTTACATCCCTTCCTGATCTGTTTCCCTTCCTAACTACACAGTAATCCGCCACGACCGGACGAGCCGGACTGGCGGAGGTGTAGCGTTGTATGTTCACGAATGCATGAAGACCCGAATACTCCACTGCTCTCCTCCATCCGATCACCCACATGTAGAGTTCCTAATCGCTGAAATTTCCTTTGATACATCTCCTATCCTTTATGTCGTAGTGTATAGACCTCCTCTTGTTCCCTTTGATCCATCATTTGAATCATCCCTCTTCAACTTTGTTCCTCTTTATACCAAAATAATCATCTCCGGAGACCTAAACACTAATTTCCTTTCCGATTCCAGCGATAAATCATACCTCGAAAACCTTTTTTTCTCTCTTCATCTTTTCATTGTTCCTTTTTTGCCCACTCATCACATCCCCAGGTCCGATACCTGGTTGGACCATTACATTATCGACTCCGCTCAGAACCTCCTTTCCTCCTCACAAGTACCGGTCTCCTTTTTATCCTCTCATGACCTAATTCAAATTTCATATAATATCCATACTCCTCCGATCCTACCTAGAACCATAACTTTCCGTAATATTGATGTCCTCACTCGTGAAAAAATCTTACCCTACCTGGAAACCCTTGATTGGAATGGAATATATTGACTCTATGGTTCATGTATTGACTCTATGGTTGATATTTTAACTTCCAACCTCCTTAATATCCTTGATTCCCATGCTCCCATCAAAACCTCTACCTTTCGTCGCCGCCCGGCTCTCTGGATGTGTCAGCAAATTAAAGATCTTCAGAAGAGACGTGATGCAGCCCGCAGACGCTTTAGACGCACTAGGCTCGCTGACGACTACCAAGCGTTTAGGATGCTCCGTAACCTGACACAAACCAAAATCCGAAGAGCCAAATCCTCCTATTTCCACGAAGCCCTTTCAGCAGCTCCTGATTCCAAAACCAAATGGCAACTCCTTCGTGAACTCTCCCTCTGTGACTCTTCCAGATCACCTTCCTCAGCAGTCTTTCCAGTCAAACCTGATGATTTAAATTCATATTTTATATCAGCTTCCTCCTGCATTCCTCCATCAACCTCTTCCTTCTTTACTCCTGGAATATCATTTAACGACGACAACTTTTATTTTTCAGATATTTCTCCTACAGACCTCATATCCGCCGTCATGAAATCTCATTCCAATTCCATTTGTCCAGATGGTATTCCCGTCAACTTAATCAAATTATGCCTACCTGAAATCCTTCCCGCTCTACTTTTCATCTACAATTTCTCCCTTCAGAACGCATTATTCCCTTCCTCATGGAAAAAAGCCATTGTCTCTGAAGATTACCGTCCAATCTCAATCCTGTCTAACCTTGCAAAACCTCTAGAACGAATAGTCCAATCCCAAATTTCCAACTTCCTAGAACAGTCCAATCAACTTGACCCTTACCAGTCTGGTTTTCGACCAGGCTACTCCACACAATCTGCCCTAATCAAAATCGTTAGTGATGTTCAGTCAGCCATAGATGATAAAAAACTAACTGTCCTTATCCTCCTGGACTTTTCCAAAGCCTTTGATACCATTAACCATTCCATCCTTTTCTCCAAATTGAAATCGTTATCCTTTTCCAACAGCTTTATCCTCTGGTTTCAATCATTCCTCTCTCAACGTACTCAAGCAGTCTCTATCCCGAACCAACCTTTATCATCCTATCTAACTCTGTCCTCAGGAGTGGCACAGGGCTCCAGCATATCTCCTCTCCTTTTTAGTTCATATATTAACGACCTTCATAAATCAATCCTTCACTGTTCACATCACCTTTATGCCGATGATTCCCAAATTTACCTCTCCTTCGCTCCCTCTGAATGGCATGATGCGTTTGCCAAAATACAAGAAGACCTAAATCGGATTTGTGCCTGGGCAAGTGAAAATGGATTAAGGTTAAACGCTGCTAAAACCCAAGCCATTATCATCGGTTCCAAACTCCTTCTCAGATCAATATATTACCAACATTCCTCTCCTGTACCTGAATGACCAATCCATCACCTTCAACACTTCAGTTAAAAACTTAGGTGTTATCATAGATCAAACCCTCTCCTGGAATCACCATATTTCCCTCATATCCAGATGTTCAATTTCCATCCTGAAACTCTTCCATCGCTTCCGCGATCTCCTACCCATATCCACACGTAGACTCCTAGTATCCGCCCTCATCTTCCCCCACATTGACTACGGCTGCGTAGTGTATGGTGGCCTCTCATCGGAACTTGGAGTCAGACTGAAAAGAATAATGAATGGCTTAGTACGATTTGTCAATGGGATCCCGAGACGCTCTCATGTTTCCCACTACTATGCCGAGTCAGGGTGGCTCTTCCCCTCCTTCAGAAGACAGTACTTCCTAGGTACATTCCTTTACCAAATAATCTATAATCATCGTCCGTCCTACGCATTCAATCTCCTTCAATTCAAGTCATCTATCCACTCCCTCTCCACAAGATCTCGTCCTTCCGACCTTTATACCCCTTTCCACAAATCGGCCTCATTTCAACACTCCTTTATTGTCCGATCCACCACATTTTGGAATTCCATCCCACTTAAAATCCGCCATGCACCATCCTTATCCACATTTAAAACCCTCCTTTTCCAATTCCTCCTTACAATTCAATCAGACGCTGGGTAGCCTATTATTGTATTATTATACTATTGTTGTATTGTATGTGTATGTATGTGTGTGTATGTATATGTGTGTATGTATGTGTATATATATGTATATGTATATATATGTGTATATGTATATATATATGGATGTGTGTATATCGTATATATACTATTGTACTATTATTGTATTCTCACTATTATTGTGTTATTGTGTGTATATATTATGTCTGTACGATTATACTATTATTGTATTTCGATTATACTATTATGTACTTCGAACATACTACTATTACTATAACATCTTTATTATTATTTGTCGCTCATTTATAATTTCATAGCGTATTGTGTATAGCAACTATTTTGCAGTATTAGGACCTTATTTCTCATATTAAGGCTTCCTATATCTGTACAGTTATGTAAATGATTCTTTTATCCCTTATTTTTTAGTTGTTTTTTTTGTTTGTTTGTTTGTTTTTGTTTATTGTAATATACATTTTGGCCAGATGTAATGTTAATTTTATGTACAATATTGTTATTCTCAAGGGAGGTAGTCCCAGAATAAAGTTGATTCTTCTATTATATTGTCAATTGTTTACTGACCAATATAGTAGCGTGTTACTCGCACAGACTATCTAGTTATATCTATAATGGTGTATACAAGGCCTCTGCTGAGAATTGTGTTTTTGAATAATGATTCAAGTTGTAACTCATTGAAAATAATAATCCATTAACCGTTAAATTAAATATTATTAATTTATGTATATATCATGTCCTTTTATACTTTTTTCAATGACCTAGAAAAGTCAGGGAATTCTATTAGAAGGTTTTAGTGGACATCATTTGATAGTGTCTTCTAGTCATCAAGTATGTAGTAGTAATGCAGGATGCCTACAAATCTCAGTTATAATATTATCTGTTATTATTACTTCTCCTTTTGATTTAAATAAAAATAGAATAAAATAATACAGCAACAAAAGCTTTATCATTGATCAAAAATAAATCAATAACTTTGTAGAAAAAAATATATTTTAGTTTTAATTAACTTTGGTTATTAGGCAGCTAATATTTCTTGAAGTAGAAACATTCTAGTGGTAGAATGTACTTTTTGCTTAAATTGAATACATTTATTTATTTTACAGATGCCTATGTGGTTTATCCCAGTTATTTATTAATTGCAATGATTGGACATCAACAGAAGACAAAGAAGCTCTTCAGTCTTGTGGAAATCGTTGTCCTAAGAATGTAATAATTTTTCAGTTGATCCATAAAAGTTTAGAGTATTTCTTCTTGTTATCAGGACAGTAATTTTGGTCTATTACAGTATGCATGTGGGCACAGGTGCTTTTCCCAATGCCACAGTGGAGAATGCCCTCAAATTCCTCCTTGTCGTAAGAAAGTAAAAGTAAGTTGTGGCTGCCATCAGCTTAAGAAGGAGTTACCCTGTCATCTCGCATGCCAACTCAGTTGTGATGATACTTGTAATCAACTTAAAGCCGAAAAGCTGAAAGTATATAATTTTCTTTACTTTCTTATCAATTTTTTTTTTTTATCAAGTGTTTTTAATAACTGACAAATAATCAATTAAATAATAATAAAGCCAAGGAACAGCCTATCGTTTTTAGTAAATATATGAGTAGCTTCATATCAAAGACGGATATGTTGTTTTCATTAAGTGATGAAAAAGTTGATTTTTGATTTGTAAATTCGACTCAAACTTTTTCTGATAAATTTATTTAAGAATGTCCAAGTTGAATTATGAAAAACAAACACTGGCTTTTTCTCAACTTTTTAAAAATGACAGATATCTGTCTTTGATATGAGGCCACCCATATATTTAATAAAGGTATCTATAGAAATAATGTTCAGGGATTGATGTTAAGCCATTTAAATGTTTTCGTTTGCTCTTCTATTTCAGACAAAAAAAAATATCTGAATAAGAAAAAGTGAGGATATATCAGAGCTACTTATATTTTAATAAATTTGGAATTTAGTAATAATAACGGCTTATGTTTAGGTCCAGGTTGTTCAAATAAAGAAAAACCATTGGAACCAAAGACCCCTTTTTATCAAATTATTAACTTCCATCTGAAATTTTGTAAACAGTTTCATCTCATTGTTACCTTCAAACATCTTAATTGCAAAAATTCTCAAAATTTTAATTAGGCACTAAAAACTCATGAATCCTCATTTGCTTTCCACTTGAATTGCAAGATAATATGGTCACAGAATATAAAAAAAGTGGCCTACAAAAATATTGGGCTTTGGACTTCCACCACCAACATTTCAAAATAGCAAGCTTATATAGGCCCTACGGCCCAATATTTTTGTAGGCCACCTTTTTTTAAATTTATTTTGTGATCATATTATCTTATGATTCAAGTGGAAAGCAAATGAGTTTTCAGTACCTAATTAAATTGACAAAGTTTACCGATCTGCAGTTTGAAAACGCCCCAATTCCTAAAATGTTTGCAAATTGATACATGAAATAAATGAGTTAAAGCTGAATGCAGATAAAACTAAGGCTATCCTCATCGGGTCCAGACATCTCATTAGTTCCCTTCCTTACTTTCCTCTACTTTACCTCAATCACCGCGATTCATTTTTTCCCTACACTCAAAAACCTAAGAGTAACATTTGATCAGAACCTCTCCTGGAATAATCATATCTCCCAGATTATAAAAAAATCCATTATTCTATTAAGATTCCGTGATTGTATTCCTCTAAAAACCAGACAGCTCCCTTCTCGTCCACAAATTCCTTCAAACAACTCCTATTCCACCACCTGCTCCATATTCAAACTTCTGCAAACATGTAAAATTTACTTGTACTGTTTAAATCAATCAACTGCACAATTTGCAATAACATTAATTAGGCACTAAGGGACTATAGTCGCAGAATAAAATTATTTATTAGTTTCATTCATTCATTGATGAATAAAATAGAATCAACAAAGATGCAATAGAGCTGCGTGTAGATAAATGGGAAGAAATAGCCCAAGAAAGGCAGAATGGAACAGGCTTATTAAGGCCGAAAATGATCTACATGGTCGTTGCCAAAAGAAAAAATATGGCTAAAACAGTTTGTGCAGCGGGGTTAAGAGGGTTAAGATCTTCTTTAATTTTTTATATATTTCTATGTGTAATATTTAATTGTTTAAATTGTGTCAGTTCACAACCCCATTGTATAGTGTTAATAATATATATATTTTTTTTAAAAAAGATAAAGTTCTTACAATGCTGTGGTATGAATAAATTAATCTTTTTTTAAAAAATGTTATTAACAATATCTAATGGAAAAAACATGCCCTCTATTTGACAAATACCTTGTAAATTAGTTCCATTAATTGGTATTCCTACCCATTTTACTTCTCACCATATTTTTATTTCTTATTCTTTTTTTGTGTGTGTGTTTATCACAAATAAAGGAGTTTACAGTCAGTGAGTAACCATTAGGGGGCGGGGTAGCCGAGCTGGCTAACATGTGTGTAAAACATGTATTGCCCAAAATCCTGATAAAAACAAAATCCTTCCTTGCCCAGGAAAAACCCTGTATAGTTAAAAAGGTGAGAGTCACCAGGGTAAAAAAAATTCAGTGGGTCACTGATTTTAACCAAATCTTTTTCAGTGAATCTACATCAAAAAATACTATACATATGTCTAGCTTTTGGTTTAATGGATCTTAAAAAGCTGAAAAAACAATTACTTTATATGATTATGAAGGTTTTCTTAATTTACGATACCTTACAGCTGATTTATTCCATATTCAATATTTTTTTATATTTTTATGCAACAAAAAAAATCGAATGGTATGTAATAACCTAGAAATCTGGGCAAAGCAAAGGAAAACAAATAACATGAATTTTTTTAAAATCATATAAAGTAATTGTTTTCTCAGAAAATCCATTGAAACAAATCCCAGACATGTCTAATATTTTTTAATGTGGTAAAATATTATGTTGAAATTGGTGAACCACCAACTGTAAACCCTTTTTGAGATAAACACACAAAAAAAAGAAGAAATCAAAAACTGTTAGAAGTACAAGGGATAGGAGTACCCACCAACAAAACCTATTTACCTGGGAGCACACTTACAAGGTATCTATGACCTTCCCTTGTGAGTTTACAAGCATAAATATATTTTGAATATTTCGTAGTTGACCATCGTATTGAGAAAAGAGATGGTACTTTAATAAAATAGTTTTGCCACTATTTAGTCTATTTATGACCGCCACCCCGAACTATCTTCTTCCTTGTAAATATATTTTATTTTTTTTATATAGAAAGAAGAATCTGAGCGTGAGATGAAGAGGCTTGCTGAGGAAAACAAGAATAAAGAAGAACTTCTAAAGTACGAAAAGAGAATGCAAGGAGGGAAGAGGAGGGAGAGAAGGAAGGCTATAGAAACCAATGAAGAATCCTGGTTGGCTGCTAATTTAATGATGATAACAGGAGTTTCTGTTCTTACTATATCTGTTATTATTGGGTTTTATTATGCTATTTATTCAATGAATCTATGAATCTGATGTGTTGATTGTTATATTATTGTTCTAACTGTAGCTTCACCTAAAATCTTGGGTGATTTATCAATTCTGAAAGGTATATCAATTCTGATGAGCTATGAATATCATGTTTATTTATTAATAAACATAAGCCATTCTTTCATTTACTAATTTTAGAGATTACAAAGTCGAAAACTGTTTAAAAATTAATTTACTAATAAACTTATATCTTATTTAATAATGATGTATGTTGTAACAGTACAATACAGGGAAACCTTCATTATCCGAATTAAAGAGGGGGAAAGTGTCTATGAACAATCAATAACCCGATAAAATGAAATTGTTAATTAATAAGAAATTTGAAGGAAATGTTACATTAATAAAAACAAGTTGATATTCATATAGTTTATTAATATGTACATTATTTTTATTTTGCAGGAGAAAAATAAATTCCTTAATTGCTTTTTTTAATTTCTGTTCTCATTTTTTGTATAGTGATAATTTCTTTATAATTCTCTTTTTTAATGTAATTTAGCAAAGGTTCTTTGTTCCGTAACGCTTCATTGTGTTTTATTTTCAAGACATTGAACCTTCATCATTGTCACTTCTGTCATCCATCTGTGAAGAGGTAGTTGCCTTGTCCTTACTGTAAAGATTTACTATTTTTGGTATCTAGTAATTTTTCAAATCTCACTTCTTTAAAAAAAAAAATAATTTTATATCATTTTCCACTATTTGATCAGGTCAACATTAATGAAAATCCAGAAGATCTGAGGAAATGTAGACATCATAAGCCAGTTCCATCTTCTATTTCTTTAGTTTCTCATGTTATTCTTGGTCTGTTATTTTTTCCCATAAATATTTTGAAGTTGTTGGCAGTAAATATGTCCTATTCTCACACATTGCAATAGATTTTATTTTCCATTTCCTGCTTAATTATTTTGGTATTACTGGTTTATTTTTGTGTAAATCCTAAAACTGTTCCAACTGGAAAGAACCTCTTGATATATTAGCTGGATTTGTTCTTTCACATTCAGTCGAATCTAATGAATCATTTTATTCTCTAATTCTAACTTGTATGATACTGATGCATTGGTACAATTCATAATAGTAAATCTTCAGTGTCATTGTGGTAGAGGTAGGAAGGGCCTCATTAATTAGATTCCCAGTAATTGAACTCCTAATGGATAATGGATGTCCTCCTATATTATGATTTTCTGTTTAAATTTCCCTTGATTTTATTGTAGGAAGTTCAGTAGTACCAATTAACTTTGTAAATGTATTGCTACTAGAAGTTAAAATATTACAAAATATAAAATATTAAAATAATATAAACAACTAAATGTTAATTGCATTCATTAAAGAAGTAAATATTTGATATTCAACTTCAAGTAGTTTTAATTTATATTGATCACCTAATCATCCTAAGCCTGATTTGCCTGATGTTATATATTATGTTAGTTTTGATAAGTCTCTCTCTCTCTCTCTCTCTCTCTCCTCTCTCTCGTCTCCGTCTCTCTCCTCTCTCTCTCTCTCTCTCTCTCTCTCTCTCACTCTCTCTCCCTCTCTCTCTCTCTCCTCTCTCTCTCTCTCTCTCTCCTCTCTCTCTCTCTCTCTCTCTCTCTCTCTCTCTCTCTCTCACTCTCTCCTCTCTCTCTCTCTCTCTCTCTCTCTCTCTCTCTCTCTCTCTCTCTCTCTCTCTCTCTCTCTCTCTCTCTCTCTCTCTCTCTCTCTCTCTCTCTTCTCTCTCTCTCTCTCTCTCTCTCTCTCTCTCTCTCTCTCTCTCTCTCTCTCCTCTCTCTCCTCTTCTCTCTCTCTCTCATCTCTCTCTCTCTCTCTCTCTCTCTCTCTCTCTCTCCTCTCTCTCTCTCTCTCTCTCTCTCTCTCTCTCTCTCTCTCTCTCTCTCTCTCTCTCTCTCTCTCTCTCTCTCTCTCTCTCTCTCTCTCTCTCTCTCTCTCTCTCTCTCTCTCTCTCTCTCTCTCTCTCTCTCTCTCTCCTCTCTCTCTCTCTCTCTCTCTCTCTCTCTCTCTCTCTCTCTCTCTCTCTCTCTCTCTCTCTCTCTCTCTCTCCTCTCTCTCTCTCTCTCTCTCTCTCTCTCTCTCTCTCTCTCTCCTCTCTCTCTCTCTCTCTCTCTCTCTCTCTCTCTCTCTCTCTCTCTCTCTCTCTTTTTTTTTTTTTTTTTTTTTTTTTTTTTTTTCCTTCTTTCCCCCCGCTGTACCTTAGGGCAACCCTATACCAGCGGTACATCCAATTTTCTAACTGAAAAATATGCCACGAATTTAAAGGGCTCGGTCACCAGGATTGGTAACCAAGCGGGCAGGTCTGCTCTCACTTTGATCCAAATTCTTGGGTCAAAGTGAGGCAAAATTCGGTCTTTTAGTTTGATTGGGGCATTAATTATCACGGGTAAACCTACACTAATGGGTTGCCTGCAACTGGAGGGCTGTTCCCACCAAACAGGACTCCAGTAACTTCCTACCTACTTATTGTGGGCCTATTATTAAGTTTATATATACTATTTCTAAATCTTATGATAAAAATAAATTTATGTATTTGGTATATCACCGGTTTAATCTTTCCTCTCTTGCTATTTTTTCATGGAATATCCTCCTGGCGTATTTCTTAAAGGCATCAAATATCTCAGGTGTCTCCACAAGCTTGTCCAGGGACCGAGGAGGCCATTCCAACATGGAGTACTCTCCTGCCAATGCTTGTCGGGCGCCAGTGTACATTGGACATTCCAAAATTATGTGTCTAGCGTCCTCAACAGCCCCGCAGTGACAATTCGGACTGGCTCTTCTATGAAAAAAATGTAATTTTTCATTTATATCTCCATGGCCTGTGAGGAGTTGAACAGTCCAGAAATCCGTCTCCACCCAGTCATTCTTGATTCTTCTCCTGACATCTGGGAAGAATTCATGGGTCAGTCTTCCAGTCTCGCATGCATCCCACCTTCTCTGCCATTCAGAAAGGACTAGTTCTTCTATTCTGTCGGCTACCTCGTCGTACCTTCCACTAGGGCACACAAAACAGCTTGTTCCCACATTTGCTGGCACTCCTCTCTTTATTCTATATTTGGCTATAGATATTTGTATTTTCAGGTCTATAGGCAGTTGTCCTGTAATCACTTGCAAAGCCGAAGTGGGTGCCGTTCTATACGCTCCTGTCACCAGTAGGAGAGATCTTCTTTGAGCTTGCTCCAGCAATCTGATGTCTGACTGTCTCAGTTTCTGGCCCCAGACCGGCGCCGCATATAATGCAATAGGCAAGAAAGAAGCCTTATATAGCGTTTCCCGGTAACTATATTTGA